CTACTTCCAGCCGCCACCAACAGTAGGGGAAAACCCCCAAGAGGCGAGCGGGCCTGAGGCAGCTGCTGCTGGGGATTCCCAGTGACAGCGCAGCGCCGGTATGTGGGGGTCTGAGCGGCTCCCACAGAGAAATAATCTTGGTAATCTGGATGAACTGACTGCACAGACCATGTTTTCAGGAGGACTTTCTCACTTCAAAATAGATTCAAACTACTTTTTATCCATGGTCACAGCAAATATAGCAAAGCTGCTCTCTGGCATTGAACACAGGAGCAGCAGAAGCATCAGACGCATCTTGATCCGAAAGAAGGACTGGGTTATTTACTTTTACCTTTTTGCAATCACAGGAAGGAGCAATCAGCTAAGTGAGCTTAGTGCTTGGAAAAAATCTTTCATTCCTTTTGAGACAGCATGAAAAGTCAGCTGAGTACAAAACATAGAGAGGAAAACAACAAGAAAAGGGACAAGAAGAGAGGGACAAAACCTAGAACAGATAATGGATGTCTATTCTATTAACATTTCTCTATCTGGATAATGGGTCTGTTTAATGTTTTGTCTTCTCAGTTCAGAGGGGCCCCTACCTGTCTTTGCCTAGGGCCCCAAATTTCCTCAATCTGCCCCTGGTGATCATCATGATGGACTAAGAAACGTCTGATGGTGGCAGCAATCAGCACTAATCTGATCAACTCAGCAGGTTAAATCAGAAATCAGCATCAAGCCGCCGTGGGATTATAGTCTGAGCTTCTTCAGTCACTCATTGATCAGAAGCAGTTAGTTCTTTGAAGCTCGGGGAGAAAATATCTAAGCTTTGTTGGAACAACGTTCAGGTTTGTGTGACGATGAGCAGAGGAGTCTGTGGGAGGAGCTACATGATGTCACAGCCAGAAAAAACATCTAGTGCAGGAAATCTGATGCTTCTTTATGCCCTGAGTCCCCCCCTCTCTCCCCCTCTCTCCCCCAGGCCTGGCCCTTTGTTCTGGACCTTGTTGGCTTTAATGACCTGCAAACAGGAAGCAGAAGCTTTAACGACGCCTCAGCAGGATAACAAGCCTCCACCTGAGGCCTGAGTCACTACACATCACGGACGCTTCAGTCAGACCGGCGGTCAGATCTCATCGCCGGCTTTATTTTAATGAAGGTGGAACTCATCCTGCTGACCCGTCAAGAGTCCCGCCCACAGCCTGTGACCTCTGGAGACCCACACCAGAGCCTGGGAGGGGCTTAATGGTGGCTCTGGTTCCTGCTACAGAAAACAGGAAATGTCTCATTACGTTTAGAACAGAATAATGAATGTGGAACTGGATTGGGATTTCATCAAGGAGGGCTCATTTCATCAACCATCATCATCATCATCACTGGTTCTAAATCTGTAGCCTTTGCCGGTTCAATCAGAAGAAGAATAAATCTGATGAAGTAGCTTAAAAGTGTTGAACCTGCTAATGAGGATCTTCATCAGGCTCCGCCTCTAAAGCCTGACTTTCACTGTACAATATTTTTACAATCGTAGCACGCAGCTGCAGCTCAAACTGAATGACGTGACCGCAGGTTTTAAAAGTTCCCAGCTCACGATGTTTGTTCTCACGCTGTGCGACCCGACGCTCTGATGCGATCTACCTGCTCACACTGTACGTCTAAAAACCAGATGCGACTCAGCTCCGCAGTGAGATGGCGCTGCTCGGACTGGTCTATCCGGAAGCCAAATGAGTAGAAGAGGAATATGAAGCTCACTAGAGTGAAACGCGCTGCCTCGGCTATTTGGGCAATTTTGTGCTGAAAGCCCTAAAAAGAAAAGGCGATGACGTATTTGGACAAAGACATGGCTGAGCAAACATGGCTACTAGGGTCTGTCAACAGAAAGAACTCCATTTCATTCTTTGCACCCCCACCATGCTTCTGGGTTTTCCTCTGAGAGGAAGAAGAAGTATCCTTGTTTGCCCACTGAGCGATTTGCCCACGACCACCTTACGACGGCCGACTGAATTTCAAACATGTTTCATTTTCTCCCAACAATTACAATTCCTGATGGGGAGGTGATCGTTAGCGGCTGATCGCCCCTCGTTACCCCCTGTACACTACGCCACGCACCATCAGGCTGAATGTCGGCCCGATCGAAAAGTCTTTGTACGACTGGAGAATCAGCCCAAAAAGGGCAAAAAATCATACAGTGTACGTTTGGTGTTCTGTTAGCTCAGTGTACCGCGTCAGGCCAACGTACCTTTACTAATACGCATGCGAGCATGATGGTTATTAGCCGTTATCAGGCCCATAGAATGGCTTCAGATTGGGCCAATAGGCTCATTGTCATCGAGTCGATCCTAATCCTAACCATAAATTAATTCATTTTCAACAGCGTAATTAATGAATCTATTTTTGTGTAATCTGAAAATAATTTCAGTAGTTCTTCATGTCCTTTAGAAATAAATAAATAAAATAATCTGCATAATGCTCATATTAAACAAACCAAAAACAAGTAATCTCATGTCCTGTCTCTGAGTTGTAAAGCTCTCACTGCAAATATTTAATTCTCTGTGAAAAACCCTGATCATTCTTTAATAAGATCCAATATTTTTTTAAAGCTAATGTGGACCCAGTGAAGGACTTTTTGTTATTTTATGCACAAAACAGCAACAAAAACCTGAATAAATCTGGAAATAAAACAGAGCAGCAGCTTAAGGCGGAGTTTCAGACAGCTAACCAATCACAGGCCTCTGCAGTCAGTCCACGACCAGAGATCATCTGGATGAGGAGAAACCAGGATGGAGCTAACTGGTTCTCCTCCTGATGAGCTGAAGCTCATCCGGCTCCTCCTCCTGGAATCACCTCAGCATGAGGCTGATTTTCAGCAGGTAGAGAAACCAAACAGCCACTGACCCTGATGCTGCAGTCTACAGTCATATTAATTTCCGCTCATCTTTAATTTATTCTATTCTGTGTTTTCTAGGTAATTGCTTTCTTTTCCATTTTATGTCATTCTAGTTTGAGTTCTTATGTATTTCTTCTTTACTCTCTGCTGCCCCTTGTGCCAGCCTCCTTACCCCTCGCTCCCTTCTAGATCCTTCTGTCACTCCTTCATTACTCCATCTTTGTTCTGTTTGGAGTTTATACTCCTCCTCTGCAGTTACTGGTTGCTGGATTCAACTTCATTTCTCCATTCCATCCTTAACCCAGCTGTTAGTTATTCCTGGATCTATGCTTCTGTTTCCATCCATCCAT